TACAACAGTAAATAGTTTTTCTTAATTTGGAATACTCTTTTCTTCTTACTGGAATTATACGATCCAACTGACATAAAACTTAAATGAACATTATATTGAATGTAGAATTTTAACCAAGTATTTTATCAGGTAAATATTTTTACTGCAATTTTCTGTTTGAACACTGTTTATTGCAGGTAGCTTTTTGGGTATTTTAGCTGGATGCAGGAGTTTGGTGCTACTTTATTGTAGTTTAAAGATGAAGTCGCGAGTCTATTTACAGGAAGCGTAATACCTCCCAGACACAACCACGGAACAACCCATTTTCAGCGTTAATAAATATGTCAGACTTCAACATTGATTCCGCGTCCGGATATCTCGTCAAAAAACTTTCATATACAACCTATTTTCAATCTATTTTCAGCGTTGAGGATCAACCTATTCTCAAGCGTTGATAATCGATCAAACTTCAGCGTTGATTCCCGTCCGGATATCTCACGTCAAAAAACTTTCATATACAACCTATTTTCAATCTATTTTCCAGCGTTGAGGATCAACCTTTTTCAAGCGTTGATAATCAGGTCAAACTTCAAGCGTTGATTCCCGTCCGGATATCTACGTCAAAAAACTTTCATATACAACCTATTTTTCAATCTATTTTTCAGCGTTGAGGATCAACCTATTCTCAGCGTTGAAACAACGATGATAATGCCTGCTGGGATGACATGCCATAATGCATGTTGCTCATCAAACAACACAGGGAACCACGTCATAAGCTCAAAAGAAACATTATTACAGGGTCCTGGAAATATCCCCACTAAATCATAGTAAATGTACTTCAAAGATAATTCATCATAATATTTAATAAAATCAAGGTAGGACTTCCTTATATTCCTGACATTATTTGAGACTATATGGTTTCCCAGATAGGTTACAATGCATGCTGCTTAGCCACTAACAATAAGTGAGTGAGTGAGTTTAGTTTACACCACACCCAGATATATACAACTATATATCTCTATGCATATGGAAGCGATGTGTAACTTATTGAGTCTGGACCAGAAAATCCAGTGAATGTAGTAATATTAAATTAGTAAAGCAGAAATGCATCGAAAAGATTCTATCTTTTTGTTGTTTGGTTTCAAACAAAATTATGCTCAAACATTACCAATAATTGTAGGCTTTTCATATTTATTTATAAGCATATTCACAGAGACAGAAAGCAGACACAAAATCAACTCACTTGGAAATCTTCTTAAAATATGCCCTTCCTTGTCGAATATACTGCTTTCCTCAACTCCAACTCCAAACTGAGTGTGGTATTACCACAGTCATGTGTAGTAAAACCTAGTTCAGTTTCAAGTCCAACAGAAATAACATACTTAGTCAGTTCCTGTCCCAAGTGATCACTTGCAATAGCTTCTTCCAGATCAGGTGAGTTCACTGTCCGATAAAACATAACACTTGAGCAGAAGTTCATCTTTAGATGTATGTACTCCTTGCAGATGGAAGTAGGTTTCCCTTTTGCAAAGGAACTTCTGCACAACCTGATAGTCTTTGAACTGTTTTTGTAGAGTCTTGATGTCATCAACATCCTCTGTTGTACCATCCTCATGAGTAAGAACAGCAGAGACTGTAATCCTCAAGAGCTGAAGAAAAGATATATATAATTATATTTAGTCATTTGATCAGTTAATATTCATTCAGTAATTAGTTCCCTGCCGTCTCTTTTAGGCTGTCGATTACTGAAAACATTGGGTGCAATGTTTTATGAGATATTGCGTCACAAATAAGCTTGAAAAGTGGTCAAAGTGTCATGGTGACCTTGAAGATAAGGTAAAGGTCACCCAGATCAACTGGTGTCTGCGTAATCCCCCATTGTAGGCTGTCATCAAATTTGAAGACACTGGGTACAACAGTGCATGAGATATCACCTTAACAACAGTTTGAAAAGTGGTCAAAGTGTTGTGGTGACCTTTGAAAATAAGGTCAAGGTGTCTGGGTTATCATCCGTTGCGGCGGGGATAATAAAAGACATTTGTATTGCACTTAAGTTCATCCATTAAAACCATACTCAAAGCGCTGACACTCTCATTACTCAGGTCAATGAATCAGAATGCCCTCTATTTTTTCAGCTCAGTTGAAAAAAACACAGCCCAAGCAGCCTTTGAGGCACTAGAAGGTTAACAGGCACATTACCTTCTCATCCTACAAGGTACCCATTTACCGCTGGGTGAATAACGACATATCTCAAAATGAATCACTTTCCTAAGCAGACACCATGGGTGCTTCAAGTTCTTCAATGTGTGAGATGGAACAGGAGCTGAAGCTGTACAACCTCTCCAGAGCCATCTCAGTTACCAAACAACATCACAGGTCCACATGGCATCATATAATAGCAATCACTTTCAATAACTAGAAAAGATGTTTGCAAGTACTTGAAGAAACAGAGTAAGCCAGCTCAACATATTATCAAAACGTTGACAGAATCGTTATCGCTATATTCCACAATACGCTTACAGTGAAATACAATTATATGAAGATTGGTGAAAATATAATATGGATGCTAACAGGTCTCCCAATGCAGATAAACTACCAGTGCTGGCTTTTCACAGAGCCTCCTTAGTCTAAAGTTATTGTAGCCCTGCAGTTAGCCCTACACACAAGGTACTAGCCTGATCTTTATCTTTATGTCGACTTGATAATTTCTACCTACTGAATTACCAATCCAATGACCTTGACTTCAGTAACTCAAAAGCACTTCAATGCCACACCCTAAGAAGTGTATGTACCAAATTTCATTCCAACACAGTGAATACTTTCTCCACCATAATAAACAAAACACATGTATCTATACATACAGAATGCAGTCTCTCTTGTAGCCATGACTGAAATGGCTTACGGTTCCCACATCTCTACATCCTGATGTATCATATTGTACTGAAAGAAAACAGGAAAATCATTAGCAGCCACATAAAATGAGAGTATTTCACATCAACGTCAAATCTGCAAAAAGACTGGCAATGCAAACAATAGAAAAAAAGAGGCTGGTAATATAGACAATTATTTGTCAATGGATAATCTATATTTCAGCGTTTATTTGTCCCTGTTCAATTGATCTTGCAATGTTCCAGTTTTGAGATTCAAGGAGTGATGAAGTAGTATCATGAATATGATTAAAATATAATTCTCCACAAATATTCTAGGCCATGTTTAAAGGTAAAGACATGTATCTTGCCAATGCCTTGAGACCATAAAACAAGCAAGTTCCAAGAAAGGGATAATTAAGTTTAAGCTAAACTTTGCAAACAATGTGCAGAGCTTCTTCAGATTTTGCACAAAACAGACAAAGTAAAAGACTTTTCCACTGAAGTGCTTGTGGACCTAGCAAACTTACCACACAACAACAAACCAGGGCCCTGTATGCCAAAGACATCTTCCTTCTTATCTTCAATATCCCACTAAGGTGACATAATCCCCACCGCAAATTATCAAATCAAACATAGAAAGTAATGAAAGTGAAGGTCGTAATTTAAGATGAAGTTAAATGTAAACAAAAACATGACCAGTCAACCTCTCTTGATATCTTGCACTATAGTTGTTGAAACGCACAAATATTTTCAAGACTCACTTTGACCTTGACATGAATGTCTAAGTGTATGAAATATGCAAAAAATAGTAATAAAGAAATTGCTTATTGAAAAAACATTGAAGGGAAGTCTTGAAAGTCTATGAAGAAAATCCAGTGAACTGTTCTTGAGATATCTCACTGACAATCTTAACATGCAGTTTAAGATGCTGAAATCTTCAAAGTGTCACCGTGACCTTGAAAATTACGTGAAGGTCACCAAAATGGACTGGGCCTTGCACCTTCCCTGGATGAAGCTTTTGTCAAATATGAAGAAGGTCCAGAGAATGGTTCTTGAGATATCTCGCAGACAATCTTTACATGCAGGTTAACATGCTGAAATCTTAAGAGTTTCGCCATGACCTTGAAAATTAGGTGAAGATCACCCAAATCAACTGTGCCCTGCGTCTTCCCTAGATAAAGCTTGGTGTTGAATATGAAGAAATTCCAGTGAACGGTTCTTGAGATATCTCGCTGACAAAGGGTAAAACGTTAAAGTCCCTTGTGACCTTGAAATGAAGGTCAATGTCACCAAACCTTGACTGGGACCTTTCTTTTACTGCGATGAACCTAGGTACCAAATATGAAAAGAATCCAGTCAACGGTTCTTAAGATATTCCAATTCGTGCATTACAGACGGACGGAGCCTAATACTATATCTGGGTTTTACGGACGCTGGATTCCTGAGTATTGGATGCAGAAATTTGATGAAGGACCCCCAAACGAAATCCAGTGCGTCCTTATGGACCTAATAATGAAAAAATTATTTTAAAAAAGATTTCTCAAATAATATGTATGGTCGCCTATTTCCGATATCAGTGGCTTTCCCGCCGCTAATGTGATGCAACAGCGAGAAATACCTCAGTTTTAGAAGCTCTGTATGGATAACATGTGAGGCGGTTTCGTTTGATGGCTGGTATCGATCGAGAGCTCTGAACATCAACAATATTATTGTACCCTTGCCACGAAAGTATTTTCGCAGAGTTGTAAGAAGCGATTTTATTGGTCCCCTAGGCACATTTAGGAGGGGCTGCGCCCTGCCCTTTGATTTTGGCGCCCTGCCCTTTTTGTTTTGCCCTGCCCTTCGACTCAATTCCAGTTTTTTTCCAGCTGTGCTTGATTTTACAACAACCCGTGTGTATATTTTCGGATTTTATTAAGGACGGAGTTCTCTCCCTTTCAAGGGGAGACGATAAAATTGTTTTGATAATGATTAGGAAATTGGCATTTAAACCATGGCGAGAAGTCAAATGTGTTTAATTCGCTTTACAAATCACAATGCCTACCAAGGAAAGAATCAAATGGAAAAGAGAAGAAGCGTGAAGGTTGAAGCAAGGAAGTGTCGCCGACTAATAGATTTCTTAAGCTAACAGGTATGTGCCTCTAAGTTCGTGATTTTTAGGCCGTTGATTTCCCTTTCAATTTCACATGCCTTTCAAATAAGACCTTCATTTATTAAAGATAACGATGTGTGAACTACATGGGATGTATTTTGGTACGTTTGGGGACCGATATTCATGTGACTGTGCTGTTTAGGTGAAAATCTGAAACTTCGAAAATGTCCGCCATTTTGAATCCATCGGCAATTTGAAATTGATCTTGAATTATTTTGTTGTTTGTCCTGGGAAATGAAATAGTTAATACAGCTTGCATAACAGCTTCACTTGGTAGCCTTGTTTTAGTGTTTACTGTCGATTTCATAAAATGTAAGTCTTGAAGGAGTAAAACTATTTTACGATTTCAAACAATGGGAAGCCACACCCTTGTCGAAGCTCTCCACAGTAGATACTTATGTTCAGGTGTATTATTGTGTGTATTTTGTTTTAATAATTATGATTGCAAATTTAATATCTAAGAATATTTTGAATATGGTATATTAACTTTGTATATATATTTTTCAGACCGGACTTAGACGAGTCAGAGGTAGTTTCCTATGAAAATTCAAGGGCACACGAGACAGAGTCAGTTAATCCAACACAGAAGAAAGATGGTGGTCACAAGACTGCATTTGACACAAAGTGGCAACAAAACCGATCCCCTGGTCGAGGGTACTCAGAAGATGATGACAAAAGAAGGGAATGATGTTTTGTTCATTATGTTCTAAATGAACACCAAGGGCAGAAACACAGATTGAGTGGAGTCAAGTAAAGGAGCTTGACACCAGTTCACCCTCCACCATTTTGATGACTCAAGCCTCAACTTGGAAACTTGAATCCAAACATTGTTCAATTACTGTCCATTCATGCAACTGTGATTGTCCACTTCTGAAGTTGAGAGAGTGTTCTCAAAAGTGAAACTGATTGTGACAGATCATAGAAACAGACTCAGTGTTCAAAATTGCAACAGACTTCTCTTGATTAGTCTGAATGCATCGTCAGTTTCAGACATTGACTTGAAAAAAGTTGTGAACAGATGCTTGGCAAGAAAGAAAACAAAACTGTAAATTGTTGTTTGCGTGTTTTGTGAAATTGTAAACAAATGTGACAACAGATTAATGACTTGAAATGCTTTTTTTTCCAAATTTTGATCTTAAAATACAAAATGAGAAGAGTAATAAATGAACTTTAGAAATAAAATTATAAGAGCATTTGACTTCATATACATTTTGTTATTGTTATTTTTTCAATAATCCTCACCAAAGTGCCCTTTTAGATTATGAAGTGCCCTTTTTGTTTAAGTTACCCTGCCCTTTCTGAATCCTAGGGGGAACACTAATTGAATAAAGGTTGGTTTCTAATGACGCTTATTTCCCCAGAGTTTGCTATAAGGATCGTGATTGGTCACAATTGTGCATGTGACCTAAGGCAGCCAATCATATTACAGCAATGAATACCGTGCTCACAAACGAAAATTTTAGGTTCAGATAAAAGTTTTGGGTAAAATCCCGCTATTCAGAGCGTGTTACGCAAACAATCACCACCTTTAAATTACATATATTGTGAAACTTAGTGGACATATCGAGCTAGGTTATGACCTGTGATAAAAATGCTTCATGCATATGTTTTAGCATTAAACAATGCGTGTCCGAAGCGTAAAGTTCGAGGCTGAAGAAAGCCACGATGTCACTTGAATTACATTACGATGCGCTCAAAAAAGATGGAAATAGTAAGTTATAATATATCGTTTGACAACTTTTATGAGTACTGCTGTTCATTTTATTCATCAGTTTATTCAATTTGTATGATTATTTTCTCGAAAAATGGTTACTTTGCTCTTTGACAACTTTGATGTGGACCCGTTGCGAAGCATGTGTCCGAGAATTGTTTTTTTCAATAACATTGCGAAAAATCGTTTATAATTCTAATCCTGTGGATAATATGGTCATTTGAAATTTAATAAGTATTTTCAGACATTGCGAAAAAGTGATACATTTGATAAAAGAATCATATGTTAGTTAGGTTCCTAAAATTATATATCATTTTGATGCGACTACTGCCTGGCCGGTTTACCGGCCTATCAGGTGATGAATAGGTTAAAGTATTGTCACAGACAGTTTCTCTTGTCTTGTTATGTAATAGTTCAATGTCATTCATATTTAAATCAGGACGGAGGAGTAGCCTAGTGGTTGAAGCGATGGCTCGTCACGCCCGAAGACCGGTTCGAATCCCCACATGGGTACAATGTGTGAAGCCCATTTCTGGTGTCCCCGTCATGATGTTGCTGGAATATTGCTAAAAGCGTAAGAAACCATACTCAGTCAGTCAGTCATATTTAAATCAATATTTTTAGCAATAAGAGATAACACCACATCACATTTCGGTACTGTATGTTTATTGTCAGTGTTTGTTGTCAGTTTTGAAAAGCTATATAAAAACTTAATCCCCAGCTTAGCAGCTAAACGTAGCCGGGGATAAAAAAGGGTTTTTGTAAGTTTACATTTTAGGCCAATAAAAGCATTAGGACTTTATTTTATGAGCAGGGGGAAACTTTATTATTATTTTCTTTCTTATACTTGTAAAATACGACCCGGCGGGTCCGTGAAAAGAATAAATAAAATTGGTCTGGCCTTATTTCCATCTTTGAAGTTACATTTTTCCATCCTTTCTGAACATTCACAGGATAAGTGTGCATCAAAATGTATGGCTATTGTTGTAAATGTATTAGCAACACATACATAGACACGCACACACGCACACACACAGATATGCACTCACACACACACATACATACACATATGTATAATGTATTCAATTTTCAGGAATCAGTGTAGAGGATTTCTAAACAGTAAATGGAAAGAAGACCAGAAGGCATGGAAGCTTGCAAAGTTACAATCTGAATATGCAATAAACTTTGAGGTTTCGTAATATCTTACTATTTCTTTTTGAAAGGCTTAAAAGCTTGGTTTAGTCATTTTTCTATTAAATTTGTAAAGGAGAGATTTTGTTATCATGATAACAACATTCAAAGGATTATTATGTTTACCCTTTAAGCCAAACAATAGGTGCTCTTCACTGAAGGTGATTCTGCCTTCTGTATAATTTCCAATCCATTCTAACACACACCATAGCTTTTCCCATATATCAACAGAATATAAACATTTACATAAGATATGCGAAATTGTTTCATTTGGTTCGTTACATAAGGTACAAGCTGCTGATGGTACATAACCAATCTTAAATAAATAACTGTTTGCACTCAGGATGGGTTTACATCATGTTAACTGATTGATTAAACAATAAACTGAAATGTTATACCTGTTGTGATGTTGTAAGTTTAAATGGATCATCAGAAAGTATGGGCACACTTATTTTCACAAAGACACACCTATTTTATCTGTCTGGTGCACAATGGCACCCTTGGAAAAAATTGCATTTGTATCCCTGTCACCAAGACAAGGAACCAGTTTATTGAGAATCTGTCGGACACAAACACACAACCTTTGGGTTGTTAGCCTGACAGCTAACTGACTGAGCTACTTCCACACTGTTAAATTCTGTTTAAATTTATCGAGTCATGCCTGAGAGTTACTGAAATAACAGAAAGGGTTGAAAAATTCACGGACCATTATGAAGGTTTTGGTTAAACTTTGCATCAGTGATTTAAATCTGCTGACAATTTATGGATGATTTCGATGCCATTTGGCACATTCGTCTCATTTTGTAACCTACAAGATACCGAGTGGTCTGGAATGTGCTGATATGGCAAGAAGTAAAATGTCAGCTGTAGGTGTCAGTGTCAGATGTCAAATCATCAGGTGACTTTGGGGCAGAAAATATATGCAGTGAATAGTGTAGTGTATAAATGTGGATCATAATTAGGAAAAAGGACGGTTTAAGTTTGTCTTGTAATGCTACGAGGGTAAGTCTGGTTTCGAATCATTTATGAACAAATGTAGGATGCAAATGGGGCTTAAGTACAAGCTAAAGGACAACTACCATTAGCCTAATTTTTTAACATTAAATTTCATGTCATCATCATTAAAAATGTGAAAACAATAAAAATTATGATAAAAATACACGCGACAAAGCTTCAGCTCCTGTCCTTACACAACAAAGGGGTATAACCCCAGCACTTATTTTTCTTGTCATTTTCAAACCGAAACAAAATATCTAACTTATTGTTGAGACAGTACATGTACATGTAAGGTGGATGGTGCAGCTTCAACAAATGTACTCTTTTCCTGTGCCGTGATGCAATTCACTGAATGACAAAAAATACGTAAACTAGTCCCCATTTATAATTCATTAAGTCCCATATATTCAGTTGAATGTGAAATGTGAACTATTATTATTTATCTTACCTCAAACATAAATGTAAACTTTCTGATTGGCTGAGTGCTCTTCTATTATTTTCAATGTACCCTGCTTACAAGCGAGTAACATTTCAATGTACCCGCTGTCAATGGCAACTCATTCTGTACATCGTGGTAGTAATTCTTTTCTCGAATAACATTGAATCCGCATTATGATGTACGGAAACTACCAATGTTTTGCAAATGCAAATCAGTGGAAGGGAGATAACTCCGAATATGTTTTTCTTGTCAGCAAAATCTAGCGATGGCTATCAAAAGATTTGTACCCGTGCTTCAAACAATTCAAAAGTCACATCAACGTGTTCGGTAAGATAAATACGTTGTTCACTTGTCCCTCGGAGCCCATGGGTTGATGTACCCCGATGTTTGTTTATGTAACATAAACAAACATCAAAGGTACATCGACCCATGCCCTACGCGACCAGTGAACAACTTATAATGAAAGTGTTTTCATAAACAGGCACTTGCTATAAAATGCATCACTGCAGCAAACAACACCCAACACTTACTAAATGACAATGTATAGCGAAAACGCAGAACACTGAGAGGAGTAGAGGTGTGATGATCAGAAATTTCACAACACGATCGTGATCGCGATATCTTGGAGCGATATGATTCGATTCGATGCATATCACGATATGCTATCTTTAGTTACTTTCTTTAAAATAGTATGTTTTGATAGCAAGTAACAGTGTAAAATTCGACATAACCGTCAATTTCGTGAAAATTCACAACTTTAAGGTCAAGCGATACATATCCACGATACGAAAAAAAGTATCGATATATTTATTGTCAGATAAAGTATCACGATAATATCGATACTATGATATATCGTCACAGATCCACAGAGGAGCTCACATCACAAGACATGTTTAGCCAGTGTCTTTGGTAACAAGGTTTCACAAAATATGTCATATGGTATTGTGACATATTTGTAAAGTTTGTGGAGCTGAATTCTAAAGGTAGGCGCAACCCACCTTTAGAATTCAGCACCACAACTTCTGTGAGGATGGTCTCTGTAAATTGGTCACGGCTTCGACACTAAGACAAGCAACCAGATACATGTATGTGAGAATCCATCAGGTGTTCAGCAATTTTGTACATAGAAACAATTGAAAATTATGCTTAAACATTATGGGTGGGTGGGTGGTGGGTGTCATTGAGGGGTTCTGGATCACTTTCAACAAAAGCCTCTGCAAAGCCTTATTTGGTAAATAAGGCTTTTGTGAACCCTTAGCTCT